GATTGAATTTTTAGTTAAAGATGCTACCTTCACCCTAATCTTATGTTTTATAGCAGTGTATTTTAATATCAGGCTGTGGGATGATCATATTTATTTCATAAAAATGACTCCTGAGGCTTAAATAGTGATATACCATTTCAAACCAATCAGATTTACAAAAATCAAAGGTGTTGACTTTGATGTAGATGTAGGAAGAGGTGACCTCCTTCTGCACATGATGATCAGCTTCTCTAACTCATTGTCCTAATTTGGAGTGAAGCAGACATTTATATTAAGGACAGGGTTTACTTTTGCTTTTATGCCTATAAACATTGTACCTCTGTGATTAAAATCTAATCATGTTTGATTTTCCTATTAACTCCTTAACAGCGCAAGCCTATTTATAGGAATAAGCTGCCTTCCAGGGTGACAAGAATTTAAAGAGAACAGGGCGAGGAAAAAGTTATTTCCATTCAAATGTTTTCAGAGTTAAACCTTTAGTTTCTCTTTTACAATAACTTTACTTTTGAAAATGAGCAATAATGTAGTTGTATGCAAACTAATCAAAAATATTTCCCTAGTTAAACAACATATAATACTGAAAAGTAAGGAATAAGAAAAGACATCTTTTCTCTTAAAGTAATAAGTGGCTTACACCCACTCTATGTGGAGTAATTTACTAATATGGGACTTAGCAAAAATCCATACACGTTTTATCTTAATAATAGTACTTTATATTTGTAAAGTTCTACAATACTTTTTTATCAGTCTATTGTTTGGTGCTCAAACAATACATTCACTGAAGCCTGGTCGCCTCTGGCCTTCAAGGTCCTAGGATGGGCTGCCTGAGGAAGTATGTATACATGTGGCCTGGGGACTTCATCACAGTTAACCACAAATTTTCTAAGGAATAAGCTCCAAATACTTGACTAAAACTTTGACTTGTTTTGAAAGATAAACACTACCTATTTATAAAACAGGATCTAGTATATAACCATGTCACAAAATTTTACTTTTTCACTTATGTGGTATTTTAGGGAAGTATTTCACAGCATATAACAACATGGGTTCATCTCTTCCAGAAATCCTAAAAATCAACACAAGCCTAAAAAGTAAGAAGTGAATTGACAATGTGGAAACTGCTCTTAGAAAAAACAAAAATAAATATCTAAAATAAACTATTGCATTCTTATGCTTTTTCCTAAGCATCAGTGCAGAAACTTAAAATCCAGAACATTCTGGTAATCTAGATGATTCTTTCCCTGTTTAAATAAAGAACAAATGTTGAAAATACTTAATGTCACTGATACAGTATGACTGGAGTCACT